CAACAAAATCTAGTCCATATGTGAAATCAACTAATTTTTCCACCTATTTTTTTTTTTCATTTACATGATGACTGGCTGCATAGTCTTACTAATCATAAATTACAAAATTAAATAAAGTTAACAAATCTAAATGCATATTGGTGTCTGTTACAGAAAAAAAAACACACATAAAGCAGTTATTTAGTACTGCTAAATGAGCCATTAGCCCAAGACAGGGCAAATCCATGTAGTCATGCTTTATTATTTCTATAACAGCATATACAAGCCTTTATTAAAGACATCATTACAACAGACATTAGACACAAAGAAAAAGATCCCTAATATAACAATCTCACAAAGAATTTTAAATAATTCACATGGAAAAATCACTGCCGAAATCACGCTTTACAACACATGCAAAAAGGTATCTGCCTCAAAAGCAGATCCCATCAGCAACCCATGAAAAATGGGTGCAATCAAGTTTTAAATTACTCCTGAAGTCAAGAAATGTTATTTGCAATGATTTTTCTCGGCAGTTGTTTCATGCAGACTAGCATATTTTGCTTTTCAATCAGCTTTGCAATCACTGATTTCAAGGATTATAAATAATAGACAGAGCTGAACATGAGAGTTAACCAAATACATTTTCAGCTGCACATAAATGCTCGTGAATATATTTTCCCTTGTTCAGCCAGCTTCATGGACAATTAAGTAATACTTCTGCAAACAACACATTCAGTTAAATCTTAAATAACAGCATTTCAGCTCTGACTGAATGAAATGTCTCCTATACTTTAGAAAAGGTTGGTATTTTCATCTGGCCAGTTCTATCTTAACACAAATATACTGAACATATGCAGAGACAGGAAACTGCCTTATCTCCATGATTAGGGATTAATATTACTTTATCTTAGTAATTACATTTTTTAAGAAGATTAAGTATTTAACAGAAAAAAAGGAAGAAAGATTACTAAGCTCTAAGCACCATCTGAACTATTTCAGCTAGGGTTTTTCTTTTTCCCCCATGTTTCTAACTGTTTATGTCAAAATTTGCCAAAATAAGCTTAGTGGGCAGAAGCTGAGTAAGTTCAGCAATTGCAGATTGCAAGGTGATAGATTGGGAAAATAGACGGAAGTACAGGATAGGAACGTTGGTCAGCAATTGTGACTGGGGAGTTGACTCATCCAGGGAGGAGATGAGGAAAGAAAAACTTAGTGGAACGAGATCAGAAAACTCAAAAATATGAAAAGATTTAAGCAGGAGAAGCAAGATTTCAGGAAAAAACAAAATACAAGACTCAAAAATGTTATTTAAGTGACGGAAATTAAAGGAAAAAAAACAAGTAAAATACACAGTCATGTAGTGGATTTTGCTTTTTTTGTTGGGGGTGGTTTTTTTTAACAAAGTTTGATTTCTTTAGCTTTTGACTCGTTTTACTAGTGGTTTGGCTGGTTTTACGTGAAATCTTTTACGTGAAATCTTATCAGTCCTCTGGACATGAAAAACATCCCTCAACACTTTTTAGAAAGATATACCCACATACATACACACACAATTTAAAAAGGTAACAGGGTCAGTGGGCCAAAATGGTACTCTCAGAAATATTGAATTTATATGAGAATTTATATAAAATTAATTATCATGAACACATAATACAGAATTCAAAAGTGTGATGCAATATGCCACACAACATAGGGAAACTATCCAAAATCCTAAGAAAGCACTTTCCTCTGAAGAAAGATTATTGTCATCAGTGATGTAAATTAGCTGATTTAGTGCCTGTCAAGCCATAACAAGAAATAGTCATAAATAGACTTTTTAAGACTCTAAAAGAAGAGAATTAGGACGTCTCTCCATTGTCACTCTTGGCATCTAGAAAACAGTTCTGTTTATCCTGTCAATCACTTCTGGCACAGAAGCAGAAGCAACAGTAGAACACATAAAAACTAAAAGAAAATTGCATATTATCTGGGAAGCTGCCCCCAAATTCCCAATGAGTGCTTGCCTCTCAAGTGGCACCTTCAGAATTTTTAAGAGAGACTAACTCACAGCTGGGCATTTACTAATGTTCCATTCTCATACAGTCCTTGTAACTTTCCCCTGTAAAAATGACTGACAGCCTTACCTAAAGTGGGATTTCCTACCTTTTATGCTTACTTGATTTATTTTTAAACTCTGTTTTTGCTGGCTCCACTGAATGTCTACACAGTCAACATAAACTAAGCCCACCCAATTGGTATGGATCCTTGCCAAAACACAATGTATTAGTTTCTTAGATTGACTGGAAGAAACTGTGTGAAAAATGGTGTGGGGAAGTACAAGAGCATTGAGAGACATGTGAAAGTGTAAGAATTAAGGCATGAAATCCAAATGCTAATCAGACCTTTTCCACTTCAGTACAGTAATACTTTATGAAGATGGCTTCTTCATCAAGAGGTGAGAGATTTTTACTCTATAGATAACAGACCAGATCTCAAAAGCACCCTAAGTCTTACCTTACTCTTTGCCTCCTTTCATAGCTCTGTCAAGATACTTCGATTGCAACTCACAAAGACCCCAAATATAGTATAATCTAAATCTAGCTCACTCTAAGCAATTTTTGGAAATCTGACTTGGATCTATTTATAAATCTCATCCTATTTATGAAAAACATTTAGCAATAATACTACCCTGTGCAATCATTTGCATCTCTTTTGCTTATGTATCAAGACTGTGTAGCACCACTGGGATCTCTGTCAAGTGATATTACTACTACTATAATCACACCAAATAATTATGAAGTAAAACAAAAAAAAAGAATGTAAACCAGATTAATTCAATGCAGATTCTCTTTTAAATGAACCTAGCCTGTGAAATGCTGTATGGCAGGGTATCATTTTGATTAAGTCCTTCAAAGATATTTAAAAAGGATTGTCATCTATCCTAGCTACAATAAAAGCAAGACTGACCTGTTATAATTAGGATAGGTCAGGATACACTTTCCATAGTACATATGCAACTCTGCCTCGCTTCCCGCTGCTAGAAGCTGGAGGAGAAAGTTCTCTTCCTTACACAGCTTCCCCTATACAAAGACTGGGTAAAGATCTGCATCCACAGCCACATGCACAAACAGATGAAGTAAGAAGGTTTTCTTTAGTTGTGTGTCTTTCCCTCCTCAAACTAATGGTTAATGGAAAACATCAGTGAAAACTGGTACAACAGAAGTTGTACTTTCACTTGTAAAAACTGATTAGTACAGTCACCATGTGCCATGCAGTAACAAATGGTTAATTAGAAAATTCTGAAACTCCTGCTTCCTCTCTTCCTCTTCTCAGTAAAAAGAAAAAAGAATGACAGCTGAGAGGTCACTCTCAACGAGAACCTGAGACTCTCCAAGAACTCTTTTCTGAGAATTCAAAATAAAGTTTCATACGGTTCTTTTCTCAGCGCAAGTGGACCATTGGCTATAACTACAGGTAGGACACAGAAATGGATATTTAGGTGACCTGCCTATAAACCATTGAAAATATGTAATTATTCAGCTAATGCACTGAAAACTACATGTTTTGTGTCAACCTGTTCAACTAGTCAACTAGTGTTGTTCAACCAAGTCACAGTGAATTCTTTGGGGAAGAAAGAGTATCAGTTTCTGTTAACCAGTGTTTAGAAGATGGACATCGGGTTGAAGAAGAACCCAGAATATCTACATGCTCTTCTAAGGAAACAGGAAAATATGTACATTGATGGATAAACTCAAACTGCTAAGAAACTACTATGGCAGAACAAATTCAGTATCACTGTTTTCCAGGATACCACAAAAAGTGCCAGAATCTTTGGGTAAGAACTTTATAGAGACCCTGTAAACTCAGATGGCACTATACTTAAGAGTTTACATTTTCCACTTCTTTTATTTAGGGAACCATTAAAAATAGTTGAATAAAACGACCTGAATTTCCATCAGCCATGACAATGGATTTGTGAATAGAAGAATTTGTCAATATAAGATAAGGCAGTATAACTTCAGGACCTCTTTATGGCTCCATTTTTTAGTGGTGTCATGGAACCACCTTACATAATACTCTTCACATTATTTCTATCAGAAAAAAAATGAGACATGAGTCCATATGATGTTAGCATTGTGTGATACTATTTTTTATACTGCTCTGAAAAAGATCAGGTAAACAGGAACAATTCAAGCAGCACTAGTACTCTGAAATGCAGTCATCATCAATCCCATCCAACAGGCTACTAGGTGACAAAGCACACCAGTAGATAATAATCTGTGATTGCATCCTCATTGTAAATCCCACCAACAGATCACAAACCCTTAAATTCTGATATTGTTAGACAGCCATTTCTGTTGACTTTCAAAAAGCCAGTCCTTTACACCGACAACCGTCCCCTTACACAGAAAGAATGTAATGCTTCTGAAATGGTTTGTCTTTAAAGGTCTGCATAATTGTTTATATATTTTAAACTGTAAAAGTCTGATTAGTATGTGGTACACAGATGCTTGAATGACTGATGTAGACAGTTATTTGTTGTCTCTACCAGTAAGGCTCTTTAGTTATTTTTACTAAGGCAGTTGTATAAAGTCAGGATGCCAGTGATGTTTAAATAAGTGCCCAAAATATAGTTGGATGAAAAATCTGAAACCAAATTTAACTCTAAAAAGTAATTACAAATTCAGACCTGGGGCACAGTCTATGATAGAATGGCTTTGGAGGAGTGTTGAAAGCTCATTTTCCACCCACACCACCTCAGTGTTCCAGGTGATATAATACCATAAAAAGGATCCCCCAGTACCACTATCAGACAGCCCTGCTGCACCTTGTGGCAAGAATGGCATCATGGCTTGAAGTCCTTCAGCACCAAAGCCAGCATATACTGGATCTACAGTGTCAGGGAATCTGCAGTATGTATTACAAGTTAGCTCGTTCAATAAGAGGAAGATGGTCAGGACTTCACCTTCTAATACACAAAGGTTTGTGCATTTACTGTCCACCACACATTCTGAAGAATGCAACAATGAACATCTTACCTTGCATCGTTATTTTTGTGGGTTCTGGAAACAGAGGAATGAGCAGGAGGTAGATGAGGTAGACAAAGGAGAGCCCATTGTAACGGAAAGCACAGGCTGTGATGAAAAAAAGAGAAAGAACATATTGTTTAATCAGCCTGGGATAATAATTCAATAGCATAAGCCATTTCCCATTTGAGACCAGTATTTACCTTATTTAAATTTTCACCAGTTATTTAAACCATTTCTACACAAGTATTCAAGTTTATGCTTAAATAATAAAATTAATTACACTTCTGAAGCATTTTCACAGTAATATATATTTTAAGTTTAGCAAAAGATGCACCCAATATACAGACCTTGTCCTGAAAGACGAACTAATGTTACCTAAAATTTTACTTTCCTCATATATAAACTCATTAAACCATTCCCCCCACAGATTTAAAGGGATGCATAAATCAATACTTATTGGCTTTCTTTAAGCTACATACAAGTTTATTACATTCAAATTGAGTTATCAGTAAATAATAAAGAAAATTATAAAGCATATTCAGATTTCAAGTTACAGCATGCCTAAAATTACCAGTTATCTTTAAAATAGCAATGTCTTTAAATGATTGCAGAGGTCTTTGAATTTTACAATCACCTATTTGTTTGCCTTTACAAAGTTCTAGTAATATGACTGTGAACTACAAATGTAAAGGGGCTGCTCCCATGAGATAAGTAAACTGCAGAGGAATCAGGAGATGAATTAACTTCTACACTTATTAACTCATGGAACGTAATTGGTAACAATTAAGTCTTCTCAGCTATATCCAAAACAACTTAGTTTTGGAGGACAGGTACAGCCTTAGTCCTGCCATAAATGTGTACTCAAAAAAAAAACCCAAGTTTCTCTAACCACCATTTCATAGAGAGTACACTGGATATGAGGTAACAAACATTAATTAGTCCTCATCCTTACCACACCTGTCCATTTTAGTTATAAATGCAAAACTGGTAAGTCTCTCTATGAACAAAGAAACTGGTACAAAAGCTGTAATTTTTGTTTCCCAAACTAACTGATGTTTTGAACAACTGACTTGATTTGTCTCTGCACATGGCAGGGGGGTCGGAACTAGATGATCTTAAGGTCCTTTGCAACCCTAACTATTCTGTGATTCTATTATTTCCTTAATAGCCCTGATAGACAGACTATGAATGTATGCTCCATGTCTGCAGCACAGCCAAGAAATATATGGACTTCATGGGTAAGTCTGGCAAGAAGGATGGACAAAAAGCATCTATGCTCCACTTCCAAACTCGTATGTCCCTGACACCAGCCCTCAAAAAAAAATGGCAAGCACTATGAAATCTATCGAAGCTTGACACAGGGTTTTTCAGAGTAAAATCCAGAATGCTTTTTGTCTTTTCGAACGTAAACTCAGGTTGCTCATGTCACTTACGACTTAAGCTGCCTTTATAGCCACAGCCTTTAAAGGGTACCCAAAGATTTACATCTATATTTGTAACTAAGCAAAACTCCAGTATAAAGTAAACAGGACCTATTCCATTGGGAATCCTGTAAGCAATTATCAGAGCATTGAAGTGAATGCACTTGAGACTAGGGAGTCAGCCCCACTATTGTGTACTTACTCTCAGGGTGCTCTGCAGAGGAGCACAGGATGTGGCCTTCTTGGAATGAATGGCAAAGAGGATACTCATGAGATCAGGACAAATCCATAAATCAACTTCTCTGCAAGTTTAATTTGGGATGGAATGTTCTTTGCCATTTACAGAAAATGTACAATAATGGTTCAAAGCAAATCTAAAGCCTGTAGCTTTTCCACTTGAAGGGGACGGATCAATGTTCTCAGTCATTCCAGTAGGAGAATAATAGTGTTAGCAGATAACACTATAATCTGATAATTATAGGGATTGTGTCAATCATCTTCTAATCACGTCAAATAGCTTGATACCAGTGCAACATCATACACGTTTTCTTCAGACTTGAGCTTGCTACAACTCTTGTAGGGCACTTAGCACTCAACTTTTTTAGTAAAAAGATAGAAAATAGCAACTGTGTGATTTAGATACCCTCCTTTATTAACCATATGTCAACAAATACCTTGCTAATAAATCCATGTCAATTATTCAGAATCTCTGTTTATGTCAAAGCGTACTCCAGCTAACTAGTAACCTTGGCTATGCATCACCTGGAAAACCTACATTTGTTTAAGCAGTTGCAAGAGCACCAGCAATACATTCTTCAGAATTAGTAAATAACCCCCCCCCAAATCTTATCTGCAACATTTTTACTATTCCTGCCTTCAACTATCTCACTGTTTCCATTTAGCGTTTCTCGCCATTCATCTAGCACATTTTGCTGAAGACATTAATGCTTTACCAAGCTAACCTGCTAGAGCAAAGAGCCATAACTCTTGAGCCACGAATATCTGTCAAATATACGTATTCCTAAAGATTTCATTCTCAAAACTATCCAGAAAAAGTTGCTGGGCATAGAAGCAGCTTCCATTTGTCACTGATACAAGAAGAAAGGACGATCCAAAAAAAAAAGGCAAATGAAACCATCCTCTGCACTCCCTCTGCCACTCAAAGTGGTCTCCTTTTGCAAAGGTGGATGTGCACAGATGTCCATCACAGTGGAAATCGCATTTGAGGTCAATGGAATTCCATCAACAGAAAAAAGCACCTACACAAATGAATTTCTTGGCAAGCCACATGACACAGAAATTTCTGGATATGTGGGTTACGTTGGTCAGTTTGCACTATCAAAATTAATGTAATTTTAGCATTTTAGGCTTGTTACTCCTTCCCAAAATTGTCTAATCGATTACTGAAATGAATTTTGGAGGAATGATTCTCGAACTATACTTACCTCAAAATTTACTGCTTACTATTTCTAGGCCTGTGTTCTCAAAAGCTTTTTTTCTCTGCAACTACATAAACTGTAATATTAATTGGCATTACTTCACAATACAAACCTCCCTTTATATATTTTTTTCATATAAAATGTCCTGCAGAAACTATATAAAAATATTCTGAAGACACCTGGTAAAAAGAAATATTTCCTAAGCTGAAAGTGTTAATTTGATCAGTATCGAGGAAACACTTCAGTTTCTTAGTTTCAAAAGTACAGGTTTGCCTAAACAGAACACTAAAAAAAACCAAACAAACAAAAAAACCAACAAAATCAAAGAGTTTAACAGGTAAATAAATATACCATAGATGCAAAATCACAGAACCATTAGGGTCGGAAGGGACCTTTGAAGATCATTCAGACCAACCCCCTCCCAAGGGAGGGCCACCTAGAGCAGGTTGCACATGAACAAGTCTAAGCAGGTTTTGAATGTCTCCAGAGGGAAACTCCACAACCCCTCAGGGCAGTCTGTTCAGTGCTCTGAAGGTCCGTATACACTTTCCCTTCAGTCTTTTTTTTAACCCACATTTCTCACCAGGCTTTCTAACAGCCTCTGCTAACAAAACTCCAGAATACACATTTTAAAATACAAGATTTGGTAGGAAGCGAGTGTAATGATTACCTCATACAGGTGAAACTTCTTTGGTAAGAGGATTAATTTTATTATAATACAAAATCTTTCCTATTATGCTACAATTAGTAGAGCATATAGTTGCATACAAAGCCTTAAAAATGTCCCCAATGCTGAGCAGCGTTATTAACACAATGATCCGTAATTCCTATTAGATAAGAGTATCAGAACATGTCAGGTTTAAGAACTCCTTAGACGTTCTCACACAAGAACTGAGTTCTCCTCTTCTTGAAATCAGGAATTGACATTACATGTCAGAAGTTATAGACTGGTAATATTTTAAGGGATATTTGTGTATATCTTGCCATAGTCTATGAAAACAGTCAATATTTCAGCACCAAAAGAGGACATTAATTATTGCATGCTGCATTTTTCTAAATTAAAAAAAAAAAACAAAACAACCAAAGCCATGCATTTTGCTGAGATTTTACAAAGTTATTGCCTAAAATTCTGTGAGAAGGACATACTCTTAAGTGAGGTACCTTTCAATATTATGCTTTCTTTTTCATTAGACAATGCAGTTTTAAATGCTTCAGACTACAGTATATATATGCTCTGTACCGATGCCTTTGAAAAGAAAGGCAATCCCTGACAGTCCACAATTTATGGTTTATTAGGGAACACAGATACTGTCTGCTCAAACTTTAGTCTGAAGCATATCTTTAATGCAAAATCGAAAAAAAAGCCCATGTTTTTATTACACTGAATTTGAAAAGAATAGTTTACTCTTTAGCTATGTACAGTATGCATCAATCTTAAAAAAAAAACACACCAAAACCAGAAAAGCATAAATCACATGACATCATGTAACCTTGTCCTTCTAGATTTTGTATTTCATTATTATACAACAGTCAAAGAAGAATGCTTTTGAACTTGAAGGAATCTACTACTCCTTATTAGACTCACCACTGAGTTACTACATGTAGATACTGGTTTATTCCAACACCAAAATTCTAACAGCTGTTGCATGTTATTATTTCATATTCCTACCAATGGTCAATAATTTGGATAGAATCTGTATTTTACCTGTCGAATAAGAAATGCTGGAGGGTGAACTGGGTGGCAATAGAGAATTTTGCACCAAGTTTGTTCTTGGAGAGGGAAAAATAGCCTCATAAAAGATGTGTTTAGTTTTATTCTACAAAATATTTAAAATACATTTAATTCAGAAATGGAAACTAACTGTTCAAAAAAATAAGAGTGCAGGCACAGCACCAACAGACTACTGACTTCCCATTTGTAAGCTAGAATTGTGTCAAAAGCCATGACAACAGAAAACATGGACAGGTGAAGATAGAATTATCCATCCACTCACTACTACTGAATTTACTAAAAAAGCACTGCCATTAATGCTAGCATTCTTAGCGTTATCCTCTCTGGACTAATGTGTTCATGATAATGTGTGCATTAGCATCAGAAGAAATCGATTCAGCCAACTACAATGAAGCCATGTGTCTTCCACCTACAGCAGGATATTGCACAGTGTTTGCATCCTGTGTTAACGATTTTACAGCTGCAAGATTAAGAAAGCTATGCAAGGATATTATTCAATATTGCTAGCTTTAG